TCCAAACGGCTGTTAAACCCGCACCGATCGCATCCCAGCAGGTTTATCTCAGTGTTTAAACGTCAGATTTGTTGTAACGGTCGGTGAAGCCAACAACAAAGAAAAGGCTGGATCACAATAGTCAATACGTGAATGTAGATTCGTATAAATTTCTATTATCGGTGCAAACAGACCTCCGTTAGCTAACGTTAACTCCGGTGATTCAGGCGTTTTAGCAGTAATGTTACACATTTCGACGTTGGCGTCAGGCCGCCGAACAGCTGGTGTCTGACGGTGACCAGAGAACAACAAGCTGCGATACAGACAGCCTACCAGCACGGTGATAACCTTAATGTTTTCAGGGTAACTTACCACAGGAGGACCCTCCCAGAGGTGGTGCGTGGTTCGCTACATCCTAATGGTGGGCGGATCCACCCCAACATTTGTGGTATCGCACACCACTACTACATCCCCCTCTTGCTGTCAGCAATTACATCCTGTGTGCATATAGAGGTCAGAGGGAGCTGCATTGCGTCTTTGTGGACTTAAAGAAAGCGTACGACAGAGTGTAGAGAGAGGAGCTATGGTACTATATGAGGATGTCAGGAGTGGCAGAGAAGTACGTTCAGAGTAGTTCCGGATATGTATGAGAGGAGTACGACAGTTACTGATGACCGATGAGGCTTTGTTGAAGCTTCGACACAGCACACAAATGGTTCATTTGTGGCCTCAATGACACAGTACTCGAGGAGGACATCTGGTTGTCAATAAAGTGAAGTGCAATCAAGACGCGTCGCCTATTGGTTCATGGATTGGTTTGGATTTGATTCGCCATGCACATTCCTGTTCCACTACACTACATGGTTGTATGGTTTCAAGCTGACACAATAAAATATAAAATAAACATGGACACATGTTGAAGACCATGTTTCTCATGTGGCACGTCTGAGTGTAACCCTATATGCTCCTCACTTATATTTTGTGTTATGAAAACATTTAAATGGTGCTGCTACATTCATGAGATGTGGACTACAAATTCAGACAGATGTCATTGTCACATGGGACTGGTGCAAATAAAGATTATATTAAGAACTTTGGCAAAGTTTGTTTTGGGGTTCATTGGTAAAGAGGTTCATGGGTATGTGAGTAAAGAGGGTGTGCTTGAAGAACATGGCAGTGGGTGTGTAACTGTTTATGAGTTTTTATTGAGAAATAACAGTATATCCACAGTTTCTCTTTTTACAGACTATTTCCCCAGGCTTGGAAAAAACCCGTTCACATGGCATAGATGAGGCTGGGATAAACAGGAAATGCTTGGATAATTCATAGAGGTTTGGATAAACAGTGTTATGGGTGGCCCAGTATGTGAGGGCGTCATCAGTTCTTTCCAGGGGTGGATCAGCTAGGTATCGGTTCACTTCCACAATTGCATTTGCTGTGGCGCTTTGCATGTGCCTGGCTCTGTGTGCCTCATGATCCAAAAGTCTCCACAGGTCAACACCTGGAAAATATTTAAGATCATCAACACCAGAAATGTCACTAGTCATGCCTTATTCAGAATCATATAAAAAAGAAATACCTGTGGAGGCTGCAGCTGGTGCTGGTGACTTAATTTCAGCTGCAATGTGGGCTGCTGTGTGGGTTCTAGGAAAATTCCTGGTCCCCAGAAGATGAGTGGACAGCTGGTCATTCTTATTGACAAAGTGGCAGGTGACAGCCAGATATGAGTCCATGTTGATGGAGGTCCACATATCTGCTGTGAGGCTCACAGTCTCAACACCCTGGATCTCAGCTTTGGCTTTCTCCCTCTCCTCCTCATACTTGGCTACCACCATGTTCTTCAGTGCCTTCCTTGTTGGTAGAGCGTATGTGGGGTCCAGCTTTGCCACAAGCTCTTTAAAACCAACATCCTCCACAACAGAGAACGGCTGAGAATCCTTGAAGATGAAGTTCACAAAACAGTCATCAAGGTCTTGCTTTCTATTGCCTGGAAGGGAGAATGTATACATTACAATGCATTAGGTTGCATAAATATCCACAGTGTTATTGAAAGGTATCACAGGGCAATATAAAACAAACTTACGGGCATAAATAATCCTTTTTAACTGTCATGTATAGGCCTACCTGGGTTATTGGCAATAGCTGGCTGCTGGCTGTTCTCTGGTGCTGGATCCATCTCTCTTCCATGCTTGGCTCTTAGGTGCCTCAGCATGGAAGAGGTGTTTTTGTTGTATGACAGCCTTGTATGACACAGCATACACTGAACCTGTGAAACAATCAGTTAGCAAAAGTCATTCATAAGTTGCATTCATATGTACTTTTCCATTCCACTGAAATTGGGCAGTGGCTACTACAGACATGTACATCAAGGACAACAACTGTGCAATTATGCGTTCTATAGCGAGATCATTGTACCTGAGGGCTTGCCCTTAAGGGGTTTTCCAGTGTAAGAACAGGTGAAATAACAACAACACTCATGCTTACCTTATTATCCGGCAGCAATTGGAAATCATCCCATGCACAGGATGACCTTTTCCTGGTTGGCTCCCGTTGCAGCTCCATCTATCTAGATATGTATATCTAGCTGGTTTATCTATTGTCTCCCTCTCTATCTATCTATATATATCCATATCTATCTATCTATCTATATATATATATCTAGGTATATATTCTCTATATATGCAATATATCTAGGTATATATTCTCTATATATGCAATATCTCTCTATATATATCTCATCTATATCTGCAATATATCTCTATATATATCTTATCTATGTCAGACGCTATTTAGGTCTATCTTTGTCACTTAGTATCTATCTATCTACAACACTACTAACTTTCACGGCAACAACAGCAACAAACCAACCTTATGTGTAAAATTATGTGTGTTGATATATCAACTGTCTTTACATGCTTGAAAGAATAAATCAAATCAAATCAAAGTGAAGCCTCTAGATTATAAAGTAAGTTTCTGTAACCATTTATAATGAACCATGATCAGAAGTTTGTCACCTGCAATTATACATTTTAAAACATTATTGATAGATTCTACGGTCCACCAGGTCTGCAGTTGTAAATGTTAATAAGCAGTTTATAAATTCAGTTCTTGTCTGCACATTATTTTACTTTCCGTTTTGTCTCAGTCTTATATTGTTTACTTGTCTATTTGTTGCTTTAAAGAAAGACATGTACATACACATTGAGAGCCACTGAACCCGAACCAAATTCCTTGTGTGTCCAACATGCCTGGCCAGTAAAGCTGATTCTGATCTCTATATGCACTTCTTCTTCTTCTTCTTTCGGCTGTTCCCGTTAGGGGTCGCCACAGCGAACCATCTGTTTCCACCTAACTCTATCCTCAGCATCCTCTATTCTCACCCCAGTTAACTTCATGTCCTCTTTTAGCACATCCATATATCTCCTCTTTGGCCTTCCTCTTGACCTCTTGCCTGGCAGCTCCATCTCCAACATCCTTCTACCAATATAACCACTATCCCTCCTCTGCACATTCACATTCCTCCAGTTACTACTCGCTGTAATGACCTGGCAACAACTCATGAATATCAATTTAGCAACACAGGTCATTCCACATATTTTATATGTACAGGACCAATTCAGAATTACCAGAAGGCAAAACTCATTATAAAATACAACTAGTCTGCACAACTGCACTGAAATCGACCTAAACATGTCTCTTCCTTCCTAATTAAATGAATCTTTTTTTTTTTTTAGCAATAAACCTGCTTTACATGTTACACATGATGGATGGCACTGTTTAGTCTTCTGCTTCTGATCAATATATATCGAAAACAGGTGCGTCTGCTACTGGGCAGCCTAATAAAAACACCACTGAGCTCTGGTTCTAATGGAAATGTATTAACTCAGAGATAATCTGATTACTCAATCATTAAAATAACTGTTAGTTTCAGCCCCGTTTCATACAATATTTCAACATGAAACCAAATAAGAACAGTTAGAAAATTATAATTTCAGATTTATTAATATTTTTCTTAAAAAGATCCTGCAACATTTTTCTGTTACTCATTAGGTAGTATGTTCTAAAGCTGATGTAATCAGGTCATCCTGTGTCACAGTAGATAGAATGCTTATTGTTGTTCATATGTAGTATACATCTGTGGTTACAAGTGCACTAACACTTAAACTAATCTGATTTATTTGCAGTTTATCAATAACGCAGTGGATATCAATAGAGAGAATATGCCTGGTCTGTTCATTAGTAGAGACAACAACCTAGTATGTGATCATAAAATTGCTTTCAAGTTAATAACACCATCTGAAACTACAACACAGTCTTTCCACAAAGATGAAAATGTCCAATAAATAAGATGAGATCCAAGTATGAGAAAACTTGAACTACATTCACAGTAAGGTATTGTTTTAAGCCTGCCCTGGTTTTAATCTTGAGTGCAGTTATTTAAGATCTGGGTCACCAATCAAGATGAGTGCAGTTTTCAGGCATGCTCAAAGTTTCAAGAGAGAGCATGGCATTTCGTTCCTCAATGCCAATTCACACCCAGTCATCTAGACAGGTGTCTGCTAGGTTCAGACTCTCAGACGGGCTCTAGAGTGGTTCCCTCACTTGTTTGCACCTCTGGCTGGATTTCTACTGCCTTCTGCTGGGGGGAGTTGGATGGTGCTGTTTTACTGGGTGAGGCTGGGGAGGAGGGCTGTGGTGTTTCTGTTCTGTCACTGATCACCTTCTCAGCCTCCTCTTCCCTCTGTTGCACAGAGGAGAGGTACTGCTGCAGCAGGCTGCAGTCCGCGCTATCCACGCCATCGCTACCGTCAGCAAACACGCTGCAAACAGAGCTCAGTGCTCGCACTGTCTTCAGAGAGTCTGCTGTCCCACTGCTCAGGAAGCTGCCCTCCTCCACCGCCTGCTGATCAGGTGGCGACCGGAAGCCAGAGTCTGGGTAGGAAACATCAGTGCTGGGTGGATTTGTTGTGCTGGATACGACAGGTGTGGCAGCCTTATATAGCCCAGAAGATGAGTGAATCTGAGTGACGGCCTGAGAAATGTTAGCCAGCTGCTGCTCCACAGACTGTTTCCACTGCTGCATAGACTGGAGCTACATGGAAAAGACAGGAAAAGTGCATAAGCAATGAGACAGTCATATAATTCACATAACTAAGCCAGAAGCAGCCAGGTTTAGGGTGTATCTCTTTAAATGACCCCACAGGACAAGATGACATTATACAACATAAATAATGAATGAGGTGTAGTGAATGTGTGGTAATGATAAATAAACAACTTCAAACACTGACCTCTTTCCACAGAAACTTCACAGCTTCCTCTTGAACCAGCCTTTGTAACTTCTCTTCCTCATACTGCTTCTGCACACTGCAGACACATCAGGTTGACCTTTTAGTATGCTAACTCCTACAGTAATATTTATCTACAACATTTGAGAAAGGACAGCCCCTCATTTGGTAAATAATTAATTGCTTTTATAGACACTGTTTGTGAAATGTCAGTTACCTGTCCAGCTTGTCAGAAAGGAAGAGGATGTGTTCTTGCATCCTGCGGAGGCGGATTTCACTGCGCACCTCTCTGGCCATGGGGTGAACATGCCGAGTGTACTGTCCCCTCCACCAAGACTGTATTTTAACCGCTGCCATGTCTTCTTCCATCAAACTTGATTTCCTTGCACACATACCAGCTTCTTCTTGTTTCAGGGCTTCTTTCACTTCTTCTTTACCAAAGTCAGACAATGTTTCCATATCATTCTGTGGTGTGCTCACTCTGACCCCAAGTGATCCAGCTGATGTAGCTCCACCAGAAACAACTTCTTCTTCAAGCATCTTTGTTTCTTGTTTATCCACTTGGTGTGAATGATTTGTCTTGTGTTTCTTGGAATGTTTTTGCTGTTTTGGAGCCAGGGAATCAGGTTCGAATGTCTCTGTTTCGTCCTCACTGTCGGATTGTGTTGTTTGTTGCTCCAGATCAGATGTGAAGGGGAGAAAGGTGGACTCTGAGGAAAGCATACTCCCATTCAGCTTGTCTGTCTGAACATCCTCCAAATAGAGGTGCTCCTCTCTGAGCCTTGGGCTGTGAACTATCGGCAATGATGGGGGGGCAGAATCACAGCTTACCCAAGTGTTGAACTGCACGACTGGCTCTTTATTTAAGTTAGACACAAAACAGAGTCAACATAAATAAAGCTCTGCATAAAAATACTGGTAAAAAGAAACAAATACAAAGAAAGGTTTCCTGGACACAAGCATAGTATTAAGTCAGAGCTCTCCCACCTGTCTCCTGGACTGATGGAACAGCAGCTGGTGGAAGTGCTGTGTTCTTCACCTCTCTAGCTCCCCACTGTGGGGCTGCATGTGATGGACTGTGCATCTCCACATCTAGCTGAGTTGGACGAGGAGGGATGGAACAGCCTCCCCGGGTTTCCTCCAACAGTTGCCTTTGGTGAAACCTGAGAGAAGAACATGTCAATCAAAGCAGGAGAACATTCACGTCAATCATTCCCATTATAAGGGCCCTTGGTAAGATCAGTTTCATACCTCTGCTTACTGAGTATCTTCTCTAGCTTCGCATCTTCTGCCGTTTCCAAGGCCGGTGATGAGGTCAGAGGGCAAACAGTGGCAAGGTACTGAACCAGCTGTACATGCTGACCTGGTCGAAATGAACGTCCTTTACCTTGACTGTATAGCCACTCTGCTTTGAGACTGTAATTGTAACAATTACGCAAGACATTATAGCATTTGAATACTATTTCTGTGTTAACCTTAACAAGAAGAGTGAACAAGAGTTAAAGAGTAAACAAATGTACGCACCCTTCTTTTTGTGACACTACATAGCCATCTAGGACCTTTAGGCTCAGGCACCAACTCATGATGTATGGCCGATAATCAAACCCTGGCAATGAGGGGGTTGCCATAACACAAGGGTTGCTCATAATGGACAGCTGCTCTAGTTCATGGAGAGGTGCCAGGTATGACACCTTGAAAGCATTAGAAAGAGAAAGAAAAGGATGCAGGTAATAAAGAAACAGAAATAAGTGCCTGTATATTTTAAATGGAGTGCTGCTGTATCAAATAAAAATAATTACTTCATTGAGATCTCTTATCTCATTTTCTGCCAGGGAGAGAATGGATAAATGGGCAGGCAGGTGAGCAGGAACAGTACGAAGTGTTGTAATGCTGTTTCCATGAAGTAGAAGTGTCTGTAAAAATTACAGAAAATTAACCAAACTACATTAAAGAAAACCCAGCAACATAAACTTTATTATAGAGCACATTTAAAGCTCCAGATTTTACCTTTAATGCCATGAGTTTAGTCAGATCACTAATGGTGGATATGTTATTGTCAGACAGATCCAGGTGTTGAAGGGAAACGCAGTTATTAAGTTGCTCAATGACCTGCAAAAAAGAGTGTACCATTTACACAATCACCATTTTAAAATGAACTGAAATTAATGGTTTCATCTATGCATTGACATTTTTGTAATTAAGTTATCCCTGTAAAGCCCAACATATCAAAAAATAGCCAGAACATTCTAATTTTTTGGAACTGAGATGTTTATTAAACCTTTTAACCAAATCCAAAATAAGATTCATGATTTGAAATTCAAGATTCACAATTTTTATTTGCCATATATGCATAGACAGACAGTCCAGGCATATAAGAATAGAGGTGCCATATTATTTAGATTATTTCTATTTCTTTTGTATCACATTTGATACATGGGGCATTTTTGGTGATTTTTTTGCTCAGAAACCTCATGTATCAAATATGATACAAATGGTTTTATAGGGTTAAGATATATAAATAGAGTATGTGAGAATCTATCCTCTACTTACCTTAATATTGTTCCCAGAGAGGTTGAGCCATTTGAGGTGAGGCAGATCTCTTAGACCCTCAATGTAGCCAATACTGTTATTGGGAAGATTGAGGACTCTCAACTCTGTAAGCCGAGACACACCCATCATTCTCACCAGACGGTTACTGGCTACAGATATCTGAATGGGAATAGACAAAGGTTTAACAATAGACATTAAATCTAGGCACAGAGTCACAAATGACTGCTATAATTTAGCAAATGAAAAGAATGGAAACTGAGGAAAACAGACAATATTTCAAAGTGGTAACTACCTGCTGAAGGCCTGGGCTCCTTTCCAGATGGTCCAGTTTCATGATGTGGTTACGGTCCAGGATGAGAGTGTGGGTGTCTTCTGAGCAGGTAAAACTCTGATCCAGCTTTTGCAAACCCTGGGCTGAAAGATCCACCACAGGCCCTGGAAAGATAAAGAGGGTGGAGATTCAGCAGAGTGGAAAACCACAACAGCTGTCATTTTCTCATTATCATCTCTACTGTAGCACACAAGATCTTCATAAGCTCGGATGTGTTATAAGATTGAGTTCATGATGAGTTTGAAACACATTGGCAGAAAGGAATCAATACACTGCAACATATATACTTTGCTAAAAAAAAGAAGCTCCTTACAATCTAGCAACTAGGAAAACTTGCAGAACACACCAAAAAATTAATGGATTTGATATTTAAGTTTTCATATATTTCATTTGACACCAGAAGACCGCCGCAGGACGTTTTGATCTGCACCCTTGGACACAGCTAACAGCAGTAAAGGTGATGCACGCTAGCTAATTTTAGCTAGTAATAAACATCATATCAATGGCTACCTTTAAACAAACGTGAATCATTAATATATGTCTGACTTTAATAACAACTTACCAGAATTTGTATCTGCTACACCCATCCTGTCGTCTCAGGCACCACCTAACGTTAGCTAACAACTCTATTAACTACTGTAAAACAAGAAACGTCTGTCGTTTTGTCAGATGGTTTAACCAAGGAAGTCCTGGGAAATGTAGTTCAAACAGATGGCCCCGTCAATGACGGAATAGCGTCATTGAGGCTCGAAAAAAACTACAATTGCCGTTGTTTTCTACAGCGCGCAAATGTTGCAGAAAACCGCCAGCCAGGTTATAGTCGTGGGGAAAAACTAGCTAGTAAAGTTAACAACAAAACGGCCAAGGAATCTGTTGTTTAGTCTTTATTGTGAACGATTTACGTGATTAAATTCTTCATTGATCGTATTAGTAAGACTGTAGTATGCCAGCTTGGGCGCTTGCTGAAACGCTAGGCAACCGTCAGATTGTCACGTCAACGTGAGCCAAAGTATAAATGAATTTAAAATATTTTTTCTCAACAGCAGATGCAAATAATTTATCCGTATATGCGCATAACATTAACAAAACGTCAATTAACTAACCGTATTAATTCTTTATTAGACTTAAAATCTTTATGTGACATCATCCAAGTCAGTTTCCGCTTCCGTTGTCTTTCTTTCCGGTTTTGTGCCCTCTCATTGCTACCATGAAGTAAGCTAACAGAGTACTATCAAATGCCATCTCAATGCTTAAATAGGCGTTTTCACCATGTTACCTATATTATGAGTACATTTGTATCATTATCTTTTAATAATACTTTATATTTGTCCCTTTCAGGGTCGAGTTGTGCAGTTTCAGTGGGTATAAAATATACCCCGGTCATGGCCGCCGATACGCCAGGATAGACGGAAAGGTAATCAAACCATAAGTCAGCCTCTGGTTTTCTTCTGTTCTGTCTGTAGTTACCGTGTAAAGTAAAGCGTCCCGGATTAAGTGTTTGTGTATATTGCCTCGGCAGCCTTATATGGGAGATTGTAACCGTCTCAGAAATAGCCTAACCGGCTCTATGGAATCCTATGTGACTTGCTATCACTAGCAGCTAGCGTCACTATGTACCATTAAACAAGATAGAGTTTCTCTTAAAGTGACCGTTTGTGGCTGGTTTATCATTAATAGCCGATGTGGTGCTTGTAAATGTTGATAAAGATAAATGTCACTTCAAATGTTACTTATAATGAAGTGACATTAAGTTGCATACAGAAAAGCATGAGTTACCATCAATATGTAGCTTTGAAATATTTGTTTCCCAGCTACAAGTTAAATGATGATGACTTTGTCACAAATCACTTCCTATTTATTAAAGAGAACACTTGTTCCTTTGTTTGCACAATTTTATTGCAGTGTCCAAATTCTTAGTGTAAACTTTTATATATATATAGATGCAGGTATAAGTTGATTGGAAGATAATTAAGTAGTATCTATTTGGATTTTTTTTTTAAAGCAGAAATTGTTTTAGACATTTGTTGGCTCCACAGTCTTAAATGTGGAGACTTGTTTTGTTTGCCTGTTATATATGATAGTCAGAGAAATGTCTTTGTCTTTTGGGCACTTGGTCAGAATCAGCACTTTGAAGACATGTCTTATTATTCTCAAGTGTTTGTAGACCTTGTAGACTAAACATTTCATTGGACACTATCATCAAATTATTTGATAGTGAGAGTAATTCTTACACGCAGCCCTAAATTTATGAACTACATTGTCCCAAAACCTCTCAAAATGATCCAGATGATCTTTAAGTTTCAACATCTCAATTCACTGCTTGCTGTAATCTGTCAAAGGAAATGATTCAAGAATGGAGTGATTTCAGACATAAATTTTAGATTTCTGATAATATTTCCTACCAAGTAATTGAGTTTTGTGTCTTTATTAGGTGTTCCAGTTTTTGAACGCAAAGTGTGAGTCTGCTTTCCTGGCCAAGAGGAACCCCAGACAGATAAACTGGACTGTGCTGTACAGACGCAAGCACAAGAAGGGCCAGTCTGTAAGTAACTGCCTGTGTGGATGTTTTTGTTGACTGGAATGCAGTCTGTGCAACTGTTTGGGCTTCAGTCCTATATTGGCATACTCTCTGACACCAATGTAGCAATCAGTTCCAGCTTCTAAAGAGGCATTTGTTAGTCGAGCATTGTTTGTTGCTGATATTTGGTGGTTAATTAAGGAATTGTCATATGAGTTTCTTTAATTGCATCTGCAATAACGGAAGTTTTTAAAGTACTCCACTGCAATAATTGGATTATAATCCAAATGTTGTGCAAATTTCCATCAACTTACATATATGCAAACATTAGTTGGTTTGTCAAGATAAGCTGTTGGTTTTAATTCTACAGCTGGGTGTCATTCAGTCCACCCATTATGTGTAAAAAAAAACCATTGCTATTATGCCATCAAAGAGGGTAATACATGGGCAACTGGTTTAAGCCTCTTCAAACCATATTAATGGACCTGTACTTGTATTTAAACTGTTAAGCTCAAGCCAACAGAAGTATCTGCTCATATACACGCATATATTTGGCTGCAGGTGGATGGTGTGCATGGTGTTTTGTCCATGTTATGTATTGTTGCAGGGCTGTGTTTTGCAGTCTGTGCAGCAGTGCTCGCTCCACACCAGCAGCCATAGAACAACTGGAGATCATAGTACTGGCCCTTGACGTCGTTGTTGACATCTCACCATTGGCCAGCCTCCAAATTCTCCAACATGATATAAAACGTATCACATGTAACTCATTGAAGTGTTAGCAGCTAAAGTTTTGTGGATTGGGTGGTCCTGCTTTGTCCTCCTTCAGTGACTAGAGGTTGAGCTGTGTTGAACCTGATACCCACCTGTAAAGCATATTGACATATTTGGGGCTACAAAAAAACAAAAACATGTCTTCATGTGTTTTAACAGGAAGAGGTGACAAAGAAGCGTACCCGCCGCGCCGTCAAGTTCCAGAGGGCCATCACTGGGGCCTCCCTGGCTGAGATCATGGCCAAGAGGAACCAGAAGCCCGAGGTCCGCAAGGCCCAGAGGGAGCAGGCCATCAGGTAAGAAATAGGCTCAACATTTAGCCACTTTTTTCTTTTTTTAAATGTTTTATTCTTTTAACCTTCTGGTCCAAATGTAGGCTCCTTGGTTGCTTTCATGTCAAAAGGTGTAGCGGAAGTTTTTCCCTGTTATATATGCATTAAAAATTATATCCGCATAGTCTATCTTTAATCTTTATTTTTACAAGAAAAAAGTGGGGAATTTTCAGTTTGAAACTATATCTCCAGCACAACTGCAATTTTTCATCTCACCTAACCTCTTCACTGTGTTGTGGCAAACATGACATCCCAGTATTGGCTCTTACAGTTTTGTACTGAACTCTGGTTATGGTTTAGATAGTGCACATAAGTATTTTGCTGGAATCAGTTTAAGTATAGGTTAGGGCTGAACGATTTGAGCAAATAATCTAATTGTGATTCCCCCCCCAACATTGCGATTTAATATGCGATTTTATTAGCTGTTCATTTTCTGTATTAAACTTCAAGCCAAAGACGAGCACTAAGTCATTATATAGTATGACCAACATAATATTAGATTGAACATAAGACCTGACATGTTATTTGATGAAATTAAATGATGCATGAATTTATATGAATGACATTTTTATTTAAACACTTCAATTACACTAGAATACTGAATGATTTGTTGACTTCTTGAAAACATGCAATACATGCCAACACTCCCACAGTCCAAAGACATGCAGCTTATGTTGATTGGTGTCTCTAAATTGCCCATAGGAGTGTGTGCGTGTTCATCTATGTGTTAGCCCTGCGATGGATTGGCGACCTGTCCAGGGTGTACCCCGCCTTTGCCCGATTGCCGGCTGGGATTGGCTCCAGCCCCCAGCCTTAAAATTGTCCTCAACTAAAAAGCATTTCTGTGCCTTGTTTGGGTGCGTTGAGTTTATGAAGGTTGGACAATATGAGTTTTAGTTCAAGATACCTACTTGTTAAATTATTTGGGTGTGAAACGTTACAGTCAATCAGCAGCACTACTGTATCGGTATACAGAATTATTATAACATTTTTGTGATGTACAGTATTTTGATTTGCTAGGTGATTTTTCTTCATTACTTGAAGACCAATTCCTGTCTGATTGGGTTATCAATAAACAGTGTTCAGTTGACATTTTCTGATAAGTTAATGAGTCATACTATAAAGTATATGATTACCCATACTGCCCACTTTGACCAATTTATTTTGGCTTACTGTTCTTTTCATTCTTTCAGAGCTGCCAAGGAGGCCAAGAAGGCAAAGCAGGCAGCCAAGAAGCCTGCTGCCCCAAGTGCAAAGGTAAGACCTCCTGCTGTTTTAATTATTGCATCTAGGCTACTCTACTGTAGCTATGTTTATGAATGGTATAGTTAAGTAGAATTGTATGGACTAGAAGTCAAAACTACCATTTTTAGCTTGATCAGATTGTTGAGGTTTTTTGTATATAACTGAAAGATGATTTCAGGGGTTTGTCATCTGTCTTCTTTATATTAACTTGTCACTTTTAAATTGTTCAGTATGTAGCAATATACTTAATGTACTTCTCATTCTGTAGACCACAGCCAAGGCTGCACAGAAACCCAAGATTGCGAAGCCCATGAAGGTCAGCGCACCCCGCGTTGGTGGCAAACGCTAAGCTTGACTCACTCTTTATGGTTGTGAATAAAATTTTGTGGTTAACCATCATTTGTGTGATCTGTACTTTGAAAACAATACAGTGTTGCAGCAAATCCATACTGCTGTGCTATAATCCTTACCCTATTTTCATTAGGCAACTACCAGCTTTGGTATCCAAAAGCAGTCATCAGACACTAAAGATATTGATTATACACACAACAACCCCAGTGCATTTTTTGTTACCTTCAGGTTTAACCTCACTTCAGAATACCAGTGTCAGCTGATAACTACAGTATCTTGGAGCAGGTTCATCCATGCTATGTCCATATGGGATTTAGCAACTGGGATTTGTTGCTCTGTAGTACAAAATATCGGCAGAAGAGGGAGACCAAGTTCCAGCTTGTCATGGGCCTCCTCAGTGTAGCTGCAGGCTTAAAGCTCTGAATTCAGTTTCCTCAAAAAGGCCTTAGAAGATTTTATGGTTTTTACCGTTTTGTTTACAAAGCTCTTGAATACTTTTTTTTTTTTACTTGCTGCAGACCCAATATCTCAGCTCCTGAAATGGTGTTTACACAGACTTTACACCAGTTAATGTGCAGAAACTGGATTCATTGCTGTTTCTTCAACAAATTTTAGGATCTTTTTTGTGACATTGCATTTCATATCAGCACCACTGTATATCCTGTTACCATGGAGTGACTGTCAACCCACCAATCACACACTTGAAACAAATGCACCCTTCATGCAGACAATGCTGCTGGAGAGTACTTTAGAGGTCAGTGGAAAGATAGATTACTATTCATTCATTTTCTACCGCTTAGTCCCTGAACGGGGTCACAAGCCAATCCCGGCCAGCAATCGGGCGAAGGCGGGGTACACCCTGGACAGGTCGCCAATCCATCGCATAGACGAACAACCACACACACGCACATGCACTCCTATGGGCAATTTAGAGACACCAATCAACCTAAACTGCATGTCTTTGGACTGTACCCGGAGAGAACCCACACAAGCACGGGGAGAACATGCAAACTCCACACAGAAAGGTCACAGGTGGGGCCCGAACCCAGAACCTTCTCGCTTAGAGGCTAACCGCTGTGCCACCCGTGCTGCCCACATAGATTATTAGTTTCCATTAAAAAGTCCTGTCTAATGAAAGCACAGAGTAAGAGCACTCTTAGGTGAGCCTAAAGTTATTTTTACATAATGTTCTCAGTTTGTAGCAGCTTTATTTGTATATTACTGTGGTCAACTGCAGGGAGTGAGCCAAGCCTGCAGGACCACATTGTGTTTCAGGCTCTGGGTCAAATTCCAGGACTGATTTTCTGTCCTAGTCCATGTGACTGTGGCTTGTGCATGCAGGAGGCTATTTGTAATGAAAACAACAATAGCTACAGTGCCTTGCGAAAGTATTCGGCCCCCTTGAACTTTGCGACTTTTTGCCACATTTCAGGCTTCAAACATAAAGATATAAAACTGTAATTTTTTGTGAAGAATCAACAACAAGTGGGACACAATCATGAAGTGGAACGAAATTTATTGGATATGTCAAACTTTTTTAACAAATAAAAAACTGAAAAATTGGCCGTGCAAAATTATTCAGCCCCCTTAAGTTAATACTTTGTAGCGCCACCTTTTGCTGCGATTACAGCTGTAAGTCACTTGGGGTATGTCTCTATCAGTTTTGCACATCGAGAGACTGAAATATTTGCCCATTCCTCCTTGCAAAACAGCTCGAGCTCAGTGAGGTTGGATGGAGAGCATTTGTGAACAGCAGTTTTCAGTTCTTTCCAAAGATTCTCGATTGGATTGAGGTCTGGACTTTGACTTGGCCATTCTAACACCTGGATATGTTTATTTGTGAACCATTCCATTGTAGATTTTGCTTTATGTTTTGGATCATTGTCTTGTTGGAAGACAAATCTCCGTCCCAGTCTCAGGTCTTTTGCAGACTCCATCAGGTTTCCTTCCAGAATGGTCCTGTATTTGGCTCCATCCATCTTCCCATCAATTTGAACCATCTTCCCTGTCC